GTGTGTGTGTGTGTGTGTGTGTGTGCGTGCGGTGTGTGTGTGTTTGTGTGTGTGTGTACGTGTGTCAATGTGTGTGTGCCCAAAGGACGTTTCAAAATAAGACCGATCCCAAATGTCAGTTCAACCAATGAGAGAAGGGCAATTAGCGGTACGACCAATGAGAGAGTGGCTTCACGTCCGTCAAATATTTGCATTTCTATATTTTGACGGAGGTGGGCGTGGCTTCATGAGGATCGGTCTATAACACCTGGCCAGATCATGTAGGTGATGATAGGGCCTTGGACACATGTTAGAGAAACCATTGTGCTTCCGCGGTGTAAAAAAGCCACCCACTTGTATGTAGCGATCACAACGTGCATGTAGCGATCTCAACGTGCTCTAGTGCTGGTGAAGAGTATACGGACTGTCTTACTACAAGTAAACCCACCAAAACGCTATTGTCAGACAGCCGCGTCTTTAAATTGCCCGCCCGTGTAATAACGTCACAAAGTCACTCCCAGTCCCAGGCAACTTTGCGCCATCATTGACTATGCAGTCTAACACTCAGCTCCGTGGAATCCGCATTTATGGATCAAAATAGATGATAGCATCAATGCGTCAACGTTATATGCAGACTAGAATGTCGATAGTGATAAAAACATGGTTGTAAAGGTAACCAGACGTGCAGGAATGGTGTTCGTGAGAGTTAGCAGAGCTAATATAGGCGTCAGGACCACAAGCGCAGTGCACACGTAATGTCGGCTGTATATATACCACGTGTACGTCTTACACCTCCCGGATGTGTGCAGTTAGCTGCTGTTTCCGGTTGGCATCGCACCTGACCCATTGATCGCCCCGGTAGTGTTTCGGCTGATCTGGCCAGCGTTCGGTGTCGACCCTCCCACTGCACCTCATCCACGTTCCACCGACTCTCCCGAGTCTCCGCGCTCGGTCGAGAGTTGACCTCTTCCCGCCACCAACCTGTGATTGCTGGGTGTAAAGCGTAGCTGCCGCCCCACTAGAGCAAGAGCATCTAGACTGAGAGCGCGCCTCGCCCTCCATACACATCCAAACGGCACTGTCCGCGACAGTCTGCCATCTTTTGTTACCTTCACAAGAAAGTTATGATTTTTTTTCCAGCGTGTGTGTGTGTTCCTTGAATAATTGTTTTTGCCAGTCCATGAGAGCTCATTATGTGCCTATACAATACCACTTTAATTTCCTTATCTTCACAACTGTCACTCATACTTAAAGTTGTTTTGCGTTTACTCTTCATTTGTAACATGGTCCAAGTATCATATCCACTAACAAATTACACTTAAAATGCTAGGCTTCATGCAATGATATTAACAAGAATAGGGAAAAAAACTAAAATAGAAAGTTCGAATTTTGAAGGATAAGTGTAACAGTTCCATTACCTTACCTAACAACAACAAACCCAAAATATACCAAACCTCGTCATTAGCCTCTAACGAAACTTCCAAATGACTAACAATTTACCATTAAACACACCTTACCAACACGATTGATTTACTTGATATTGGTGTAATGGGAAACACCTTTAAAATCATATTCCCGTACGCGCTGTATGCATCTGCTAAAGAAACTCGTGATCCAATGCAATTTCAGGGCGGCAAAACTGAAAATATTCTGAATATGGCAATCTGTATGATATCGACACATAATGTCCCACATTGGCACATTTGAATCAGTATTTTATACTTTAGGCATTTAAAACTGCAGAAACAAGCCCCACGATTAGTCCTTTTTTTTCTGGGTGGTACCCTAAAAATCAATCCAGATCCTTCCAATAACCGTTTTTCGTCAGATTTTTTTGCATTTTTGTTTCATGAATGTCGATATACACTGTGACAGTGTTGTTTCAACTTAAGTATGTAGAATATTGACTTTGAAAAATCTGGTTTCCAAGCCCTGAAACTGCACTGGATGCCTTTAATAGTGATATAATTAATTGGTGCAATAATCTTATTTTTCACCTTTTCTAACTAGAGTCACATTCATAATTGTTAACAACTCAAACGCAGACCGCCACGATTACGTCTTACGTTATTTCATTATTACTTCCTTGGTTCGGCAACCAGCTGGAACGGTGCCGGCGAATGGCCTAATCCAAAGACTCCCTTGGCAGACGGTATAGGACTGCCCTCTGGCGGTTTGAACGTGAAGCGCTGTAGTATGAAAGTGAAGAACAGGAACAACTCCACTTTGGTAAGCCGTTCCCCGGGACAGAGGCGACGACCTGGAAAACAGTTGTGGCACCATCCGTTATGCGTTATGCTTTCGAAGCATATGCAAAGTACTTTTCAAGCAGTATGCGTGTGGGGGGGGGGGTGGACTTGCTCCGCTTTCGAGTAGGGATGAGCTCGAGCCGAGAGAACCGCCGCTCGTGGCACCGCGGCTCGTGGCACCGCCGCTCGTGCCACCGGAAATTGGAATGTCACATTAAAGAGATGGGGGACAGAA